ATGATATTGATTCTTCCTAACCATGAGCATGGAATATTTCTCCATCTGTTTGTGTCCTCTCTGATTTCGTTGAGCAGTGGTTTGTAGTTCTCCTTGAAGAGGTCCTTTACATTCCTTGTTAGTTGCATTCCTAGGTATTTTATTCTCTTTGTAGCAATTGTGAATGGCAGTTCATTCTTGATTTGGCTGTCTTTTAGTCTGTTATTGGTATATAGGAATGCTTGTGATTTTTGCACATTGATTTTGTATCCTGAGACTTGGCTGAAGTTGCTTATCAGTTTCAGGAGATTTTGGGCTGAGACGATGGGGTATTCTAAATATACAATCATGTTGTCTGCAAATAGAGACAATTTGATTTCCTCCTTTCCTAATTGAATACCCTTTATTTCTTTTTCTTGCCTGATTGCTCTGGCTAGAACTTCCAATACTATATTGAATAGGCATGGTGAGAGAGGGCATCCTTGTTTAGTGCCAGGTTTCAAAGGGAATGCTTCCAGTTTTTGCCCATTCAGTATGATATTGGCTATTGGTTTGTCATAAATAGCTTTTATTATTTTGAGATACGTTCCATCAATACCTAGTTTATTGAGGGTTTTTAGCATAAAGCGCTGTTGAATTTTTTCAAAGGCCTTCTCTGCATCAGTTGAGATAATCATCTAGTTTTTGTCTTTGGTTCTGTTTATGTGGTGGATTACGTTTACAGACTTGCGTATGTTGAACAAGCCTTGCATCCCTGGGATGAAGCCTACCTGATCATGGTGGATAAGCTTTTTGATGTGCTGTTGCATTTGGTTTGCCAGTATTTTATTGAAGATTTTTGCATCTGTGTTCATCATGGATATTGGCCTGAAGTTTTCTTTTCTTGCTGAGTCTCTGCCGGGTTTTGGTATCAGGATAATGTTGGTCTCATAAAATGATTTGGGAAGGATTCCCTCTTTCTGGTTTGTTTGGAATAGTTCCAAAAGGAATGGTACCAGCTCCTCTTTGTAGGTCTGGTAGAATTTGGCTGTGAACGCATGTGGACCTGGGCTTTTTTTGGGTGGTAGGCTCTTAATTGCTGCCTCAACTTCTGCCCTTGTTATTGGTCTATTCAGGGTTTCGACTTCTTCCTGGTTTAGGCTTGGGAGGATGCAAGTGTCCAGGAATTTATCCATTTCTTCCAGGTTTACTAATTTATGTGCATAGAGTTGTTTTTAATAATCTCTGATGATCATTTGTATTTCTGTGGAATCTGTGGTGATATCCCTTTATCGTTTTTTATTGCATCTATTTGATTATTCTGTCTTTTCTTTTTTATTAATCTGGCTAGTGGTCTATTTTCTTGATCTTTTTGAAAAACCAGCTCCTGGATTTATTGATATATGCCGGCTTCTAAATACCATTCTTCACTAAGTAAACCAGAGTTTTTTGGAGAAATGGCTGATTCCAGAGCCAGAGTAGCGAAATTACAAGATGAGGTTGGAATATTTTGTTGTTCCAGAAAATAGGAAGAACAATGGGGTCATATCTGAAGGACACAGAAGCCTGCTTGGAGGGGTTGCCATTGGCCAAACCTGGAACAATTAGAGTATCAAACTATGTGATAGAAATAGATTATAACCCATTGAATAAAACAGAAAATCATGAGGCCATACTGATATAAATAAGTGAATAATGAAATATTTGATGAGGAACAGGAAATTTGCATGGCTTCAGAATATATCTCCACAGAATACTCGTTTGTGGGTCAAGATGGCCAGGGGCAGACCTATGTTATTCTAGTTAAATAATTAGAAGCTTGCTTTGCTTATTGTACACTGAAGTTTGTACCCTGAACTAAGCTGTATCAAATATTGGTGCAGTAAAATAGAAATCAAGCGGCAACAGGAGGCCTAAGGTAAGGACCATCTGAGAGCGCTGTAAAACCATAGAACACCACAGGGTGGTTGCAGAGCAGGAAATACTGCTTTGGTCCCAGAATGCCTTCTCAACATGGAGGTTGCATGAGGACTTCTGTAAGATCTCTGAGAAGGGAGGCAACCTCTGCTCACAAGATCCAGGAGGGTCTTTGCGGATGGGAGCTTGCAAGGAGGAAAAACCTTGCAGGGCAGGGATACTGCACAGGCTTTGCCTAGGTTCTCAGAATATGGAGTAATCTTGATTACTCTGTGTCTGCAAAAGCCCCGGGATGCCTTGGTAGTGCCTTATCTGCTATGCTTCTGAAGCAGATGCACCTTGTTAGCAACAGAGGAAGAACTCAGTTTCTAGGTTTGCATAAGAATCATGTTTGCCTTGTAGTATAGTTTGAAGTCCGGTAGTGTGATGCCTCCTGCTTTGTTCTTTTTGCTTAGAATTGACTTGGCTATGTGGGCTCTCTTTTAGTTCCATATGAAGTCTAAGGTGCTTTTTCCAGTTCTGTGAAGGTCATTGGTAGCTTGATGGGAATAGCGTTGAATTTGTAAATTACTTTGGGCAGTATGGCCATTTTCACGATGTTGATTCTTCCTAGCCATGAACATGGAATGTTTCTCCATCTGTTTGTGTCCTCTCTTACTTCGTTGAGCAGTGGCTTGTAGTTCTCCTTGAAGAGGTCCTTTATGTTCCTTGTTAGTTGTATTCCTAGGTATTTTATTCTCTTTGCAGCAATTGTGAATGGCAGTTCGTTCTTGATTTGGCTCTCTTTAAGTCTGTTACTGGTGTATAGGAATGCTTGTGATTTTTGCACGTTGATTTTGTATCCTGAGACTTGGCTGAAGTTGTTTATCAGTTTTAGGAGATTTTGGGCTGAGACGATGGGGTCTTCTAGATATACAATCATGTCATCTACAAATAGAGACAATTTGATTTCCTCCTTTCCAATTTGAATACCCTTTATTTCTTTTTCTTGCCCGATTGCTCTGGCTAGAACTTCCAGTACTATATTGAATAGGAGTGGTGAGAGAGGGCATCCTTGTCTAGTGCCCGATTTCAAAGGGAATGCTTCCAGTTTTTGCCCATTCAGTATGATATTGGCTGTTGGTTTGTTGTAAATAGCTTTTATTGTTTTGAGATACGTTCCGTCAAGTCTACAGTAATCAAAACAGCATGGTACTGGTACCAAAACAGAGATATAGACCAATGGAACAGAACAGAGGCCTCAGAGGAAATCCAACATACCCACAACCATCCGATCTTCGACAAACCTGACAAAAACAAGCAAGGGGGAAAGGATTCCCTGTTTAATAAATGGTGTTGGGAAAACTGGCTAGCCATGTGCAGAAAGCAGAAACAGGACTCCTTCCTGACACCTTACACCAAAATTAACTCCAGATGGATTAAAGACTTAAACATCAGACCTAATACCATAAAAACCCTAGAAGAAAATCTAGGCAAAACCATTCAGGACATAGGCGTAGGCAAGGACTTCATGACCAAAATGCCAAAAGCAATGGCAACAAAAGCCAAAATAGACAAATGGGACCTAATCAAACTCTGCAGCTTCTGCACGGCAAAAGAAACAGTCAGTAGAGTGAATCAGCAACCAACAGAATGGGAAAAAGTTTTTGCAGTCTACCCATCTGACAAGGGGCTGATATCCAGAATTTACAAAGAACTAAAACAGATCTACAAGAAAAAACAAACAAGCCCATTCAAAAATGGGCGAAGGATATGAAAAGACACTTTACAAAAGAAGACATACGGGACGCCAACAAACATATGAAAAAGTGCTCATCATCACTGGTCATTAGAGAAATGCAAATCAAAACCACATTGAGATACCATCTCACACCAGTTAGAATGGCGATCATTAAAAAATCGGGAAACAACAGATGCTGGAGAGGATGTGGAGAAATAGGAACACTTTTACACTGTTGGTGGGAATGTAAATTAATTCAATCATTGTGGAAGACAGTGTGGCAATTCCTCAATGACCTAAAAATAGAAATCCCATTTGACCCAGCAATCCCATTACTGGGTATATATCCAAAGGACTAAATCATTCTACTATAAGGACACATGCACACAAATGTTCATTGCAGCACTGTTTACAATAGCAAAGACCTGGAACCAACCCAAATGCCCAACGATGATAGACTGGATAGGGAAAATGTGATACATATACACCATGGAATATTACGCAGTCATCAAAAACGATGAGTTCACGTCCTTTGTAGGGACATGGATGAACCTGGAAACCATCATTCTCAGCAAACTGACACAAGAGCAGAAAATCAAACACCGCATGTTCTCAGTCATAGGCGGGTGTTGAACAATGAGAATATATGGACACAGGGAGGGGAGCACTACACACTGGGGTCCTTTGGGGGGAAATGGGGGAGGGACGGGGGGGTGGGGAGGTGGGAAGAGATAGCATGGGGAGAAATGACAGATACAGGTGAGGGGACGGAAAACAGCAAACCACACTGCCATGTGTGTACCTATGCAACAATCTTGCATGTTCTTCACATGTACCCCAAAACCTAAAATGCAATTAAAAAAAGAATCATGTTTGCTACTGAATACTGCAGACCACACCCCTCTCCCTTGGCTATCTTTCCTACTTCAGTTTCAAGGTCTCTTCCAATAGTTTCAAGTCCCCCCCGATCATCCCTTCCTGTTCTATCACCCCTCAATTAACATATACCCCTAATAAAAGCATGTGGAGCCCAGAGCTCCATGCCAATGAGGATCACCCCACGCCAGGATTTGCATCAGGCGGTCTGACTCCAGAGCTCTGGCTTATTTAAGTACTGGTTCATAACACCTTAGCTAGGTTGGGTGACTGGTTTGGGGCCCTTCAATTACTTCTTCACTGATTCAGCAAATAGGTGTTTAGTGCCTTCAGGGCAGGTCCTGCTGCAGGTGCAGACAGAGCCCTTGGCTCCATGGAGCTCAGGCTTTGTGAGGTAAGTCAAAGAACTGGATATGAAACAGTCTCTACCACGCCAGTATGGAGTCAGTCAGCAGCCATATGCCTCACACACCTGAGGAGCTGGCCAGCCCGTACTCACAGGTGCACTTTCCTCTCTTTTCTTTTGAAGGTCGCCTGGTCGGCGCTCTGGATGCAGTGTTGGACTCCAATGCACGAGTTGCTCCATTCCGAATTCTGCTTCAAGTTCCCGGCTCTCAGGTTTATTCTCCCATAGCATGTGGTGAGTTACTGAATGGATCAGACGTTTACTGGGCCATAGCCACTGGTGAGTTTTGTTCCAGTTGGAATGCTCCAAACCTTAAGGTCTAAGCATGCTGAGTATCTGCATGTCAGTGAAGTTTGAAGGTAACCCCTTTGGGTAACCCCCTCATCTGCTTTTAGGAACTTAACTCCCCTCCCCTCCACTCCCCTTCCCTTTCCTTTCCTCCTCTCCTCTTCTTCCCCTCCCTTCCTCTGCCCTCCTCTTCCTTCCCCACCCCTTCCTTCTCCTCTCTGCTCCTTTCTGGCCTTCCCTCTCAACCCCTACTTTCCCTCTCATTTTTTCTTTTTTGCCTTTTTTTGTTTTTTAACCATCAAAAGCACATAAAGGCAGTAATCGTAGGCAGCATAGCTTGGGCATGCCAGGCTTTCGAGTGGTGTGTGTCCTGGTGCTCATATATTGTTGATAATGAATTGAGCCATTTTCTTCCTAATCTTGTTTCTTACTTAACAAATGTACTCCTGGATGTGTACACATATTGTGATGGTGTGGGGCAGATTCTGAGAGCTGTGTCTGACTCAGGGAAGTCTTCCCCTTTGTGATGTGTGGGCAGATTCTGAGGGCTTTGTCTGACCTAGGGCAGTCCTCACCCCTTGTTCACCTTTGCAATGAGAGAATGAGTCACTGGACAGCTGGGGGCTGAGAGAAGGTGGACACTACCTGTTCATCTTCTCCCTCAGGGGTTTCTCTTCCTCCCACAGGCATTACCTGGTCCTCTGTCTAATCACTCAGGTTCCTCTTGGACCAGGAATCATCACTTCTTGAGAAGACGGTTGTATTAAAAAAACAAAACCAAAATGTCTTTAAAAAAAAAAACAAAAAAAAGTAATAAATGCTCATCTTCCAGAAATGAAAAAGTAGATAAGAAAGAAGAAAAAAATAATCACCTGCAACTTTTATCCATGGCTAATCTTCTTTCTGCATATGGTGGTTTGGTTTTTTAAAAATTTTGTTTCTTATAGCACCTTATTAGATACTTGAACTTTCAAAATCACCTCTACATGTTCTCTAGCAACATTGAGATTTAAAAAAAAATTAAATTAAATTTTGTTATATTGAGACGGGGTCTTACTATGTTGGCCAGGGTGGTGTTCTTGAACTCCTGGCCTTCAGTGATCCACCTATCTTGGCCTTCCAGAGTTGCTGGGATTGCAGGCATGAGTCACTATGCCCAGCCAGCATTGGAGTTCTTTTTCCTGGAAGGTGCAAGAGAGTGTGAAGAGAATTCACATTCATATCCTACCATCCAAAACTAATAACTGTTAACATCTTGGCCTGTTTTTTTTTTTTTTTTTTTGTCCAGTTTGTTTTACTTTTTAATTAAGACAGATCATTCTGTATTTGCATAAAATGACAAAGATGATGCATGCCCAGTGGGAAGAAATCAGGCTGGGAATGGTGGCTCACACCTGTAATCACAGTACTTTGGGAAGCCAAGGAGGGAGGATTACTGGAAGTCAGGAGTTCAAGACCGGTCTGGGTAACAAAGTGAGTGGGTCCTGCATCTCCACAAAAAATTTAAAAATTAGCTGGGCATGGTGGCACATACCTGTAGTCTCAATTACTAGGAAGGCTGAGGCAGGAGGATCGCTTAAACCCAAGAGTTTGAGGCTGCAGTGAGCTATGATGGTGCCACGGCACTTGAGCCTGGGCAATAGAGGGAGAGCCTGTTACTTAAAAAAAGAGGCCAGGCTCAGTGGGTCATGGCTGTAATCCCAGCACTTTTGGGAGGCCAAGGCAGGTGGATCATGAGCTCAGGAGTTCAAGACTAGCCTGGCCCAGATGGTCAAACCCCATCTCTACTAAAAATACTAAAATTAGCCAGGTGTGTTGGTGGGTGCCAGTAATCCCAGCTACTCGAGAGGCTGAGACAGGAGAATTGCTTGAACCTGGGAGGCAAGATTGCAGTGAGCTGAGACCATGCTGCATTCCAGCCTGGGCAACAGAATGAGATTCCATCTCAAAAAAAAAAAAAAAAAAAAAAAAAAAAAAAAAAAAAAAAGGAAGGGAGGAAGGAGGGTGTCAAAGAAATCAGCTAACTGAAAAATACAAAGAAGGTATATATCTCCCCAAATCCCAACCACCCAAAGTTCTAGTTTTATGAGGTTTTTTTCAGCCCAGGCAACTTTCTAAGACATTTAGACACACAGAGATAGTTGAAAAGATGGATAGAAGCACTTTTATAAAGATACAACTTGTACGTCTGTCCTTTTATAACAAAAGTATTACATTTACTTGATTTTAATAAAAGGAAATAAACTGAAGTGAAACCAAAGAAATGTTAAGCTTCAAATAAATGTTTCTTTAGTACAAGAGAGATTTGTTCTAAAAGGTTCAAGTAAGGTTAAGGGAAGAGATTTTTGAAAGCATTACAAAGTTAGGATTGTGGCTTTTGAAAAACAATGTTTTAAGTCTGATAATGTTCACTGGCTCCCCACCCACTGAGTCAAGGGTGCCAACATTCTTATTCTCCTCCCTGCTTTCCCTGTCTCTCATTTAAAAAAGTTTTATTATTGGTTTTACATTGTGCTTCCCATTCTGTCACGTAAGGTTACTTCCGTTGTTTAGTTCAGTTGTCATTTACATTGATTTAATGCTTTTGCTTAGGTATGGATTTCCCAATCCAGAATCTTATTTTTATTTTTATTTTTTTGGAGATACGGTCAATGGTGTGATCTCGGCTTACTGCATCCTCCACCTCCCGGGTTCAAGTGATTCTTGCCTCAGCCTCCCAAATAGCTGGGATTACAGGCATATGTTACCACGCCTGGCTAATTTGTTAATTTTTATTTTTAGTAGAGATGGGGTTTTACCATATTGGTCTGGCTGGTTGCAAACTCCTGACCTCAGGTAATCCTCCCACCTCAGCCTCCAAAAGTGCTGGGATTACAGGTGTGAGCCACTGCACCCAGCCCCAATCCAGAATCTTTTATCTCTTATTTGGCTGATTCCTATTTTCTTCCCTCAATAATGTCAGCGTCCTGTTTTCACATTTGCAAATGTTTGCCCCTTGTTTCTGGACTTGAGTGACACCTTTGCTGGGTGATAGTCTGAGGCTACACTCTAGAGCAAACTTGTCCAACCTGTGACCCGCTGGCTGCATACAGCCCAAGAGGGCTTTGAATGCAGCCCAGTTTATGAGGTAAACATCAGCTTAGACAACAAGTTAGTAAACCTTCTTAAAACAGGATGAAATTCTGCTGGGCATGGTGGCTTACTCCTTTAATCCCAGCACTTTGGGAGGGCGAGGCAGGCAGATCACCTGAGGTTAGACCCTGTCTCTACTAAAAATATAAAAATTAGCTGAGTGTGATCTTGGGTGCCTGTAATCCCAGCTACTTGGGAGACTGAGGAAGGAGAATCGCTTGAGCCCAGGAGGGAGGTTGCAGTAAGCTGAGATCATGCCATTGCACTCCAGCCTGCAGAGTGAGACTCCTCAAAAAAAAAAAAAGATGAAAATTTTTTTTCTTTTAAGCTTACCAGCTGTCATTAATGTTAATATATTTTATGTGCGGCCCAAGATCATTCTTCTTTCAATGTGGTCTAGGTAAGCCAAAAGATTGGACACCCCTGTCTAGAGGTTGGTGTTTGTTGTTCTAGGTCTTCCAGTGTTTGCTAGGCTAATGGGAGAAATCTCAGGCAGGACTAATGTTTTTTTTTCTTTGTGGGCGATGAGCTTTTTGTGCACATAACTCTGGCTTTATCATTGAAGTTTAGTAACTTGATTAACATCTGTAACTAATGTGAACACATTGTGTTACATTTTTGGGAACATGGTATGCTCTTGCAGTTTGCAGATTGGTTTCTTTAATCCCTTTAGGAAATTTTCTTACATCATTCTGTGTATGTATTATATTTTTTGATGCATTTTACATTTCATTTGTTAACTTCTCCACTTCAAGGATACTTTACATTAGATAGCTGTCATCTGCTTTTCATTTCTGTTTTTATCCGTCTTTTTCTTCTGTGATCTCCATTCTGTTCATAATTCTTTTGAGTTAATAATTTGGTTTGCAACAGTATATTCCATATTTTGCCTCTTTTAACTTATCTGCTAATTTTGTTGTCATGTTGTTTTGATCCTTATTTCATTTTGTTAGGTTTCCAACATCCTTTTAATCTGTTATTAGCTCATCTGTGAGTGCTTGTTTTACTGAATCCATGTTCTTCAGTGGTTTGGGAGTATGAAGCATTTGTGAGAATTTTCTTGTCTTCCTTGAGTGTTTCATTCTCTTCTAGCACAGAATCTCTTCTTTGGAGCCTTCTGTTCTCATCTGTTCATTTCCTTTTGCAGTCAAGTGTTCGCTTGCTTGCAGTGCTGGTTCCCCTCATCTTGCTCATGCTTAGGCATCGTTGTCCCAGACGTTATATTGGCACTAACATAGTATGACTTTAACTTGTGTTACGGGAATGGAGCAAGGAGGACTGGTATCCCGCTAGACGAGATATGGTAGGTGAAGGAGTAGGATCCTCTTTTTCACATTTCTTGTGGATTTGGAGCTTTTGCTGTGAGTATTTTTTTTTCTCTGCTGTAGGTTGGCTTCTGGAGAGTTGCCCACATCTCTGCTCTGTTCCTGCATCCATACCCTTTGTAACCACAGCCATACCATGTTCTTAATGGCCACACAGCGTTCAACTCTGTGGCTGTAGCTCGATTTACTCATCCATTCCTTTATTGGATACTTAATTGGCCCTGATTTTTTACTATTCTAAAAGTAGCAGTCAATACCCATTCACTTCAGCTTTTCAGGGCACTTCACAATCCCTAAATTCCATTCATTTGAAATATTTGGTGCCTGCCATGTACCAGACACATGCTTGGTGTCGTGGATTCTGCCCTGAATGTGTGAGGTATAATCTTCCTGCACCTAGCTTTTCACGGCGTTGGGGAAGGCAGATAGCAATGTGAATTACAGGTGCAAGTAGGCAGAGGGCTTGGGAAACCCGAGAGGAAAGCACCCTTGCAGAGCACATCCTAAGGAATGGCTGCACGGAAGGGATGTGAG